ATAGATAGTTAAGAAAGAATCTCAAGTCATGACTAAGGTCATTCTTCCAAAAAATATCTAAGAAAACAAAAGATGGGGGCAGAAAAGTAGATAGGTAAGAGGAAGAGAAAAAAGGAGGAAGAGAAAGGAAAAAAATAAAGAACACTGTCATACCTTGAACTCAAACCAATTAAACATGATACATGAAATGAAATGTTATTTCTATGTTAGACCTCTCATCTTGTATTATAAGATCAGCTTTAGTTTTCTGTTCTTTCTGTGTCAAACAGCTTATGCCAATGATATACATAGGCAGTAACATGAAAAAGCAATAGTGTTGCCAAGTGTATGATTTAGGGACTACAAGTTACTGAGAGATACAACACACAAATTGCCTTATTTAGTGTCTTAAACACATCTTGGGGGTGAAGACAGTGGGGAATGGCAAGTGACTGCTAACAAAGTTTCTTTTTAGGGTGACAAAAACATTCTAATATTATATGACGGTGAAGGTTGTATAACTCCATGAATATACTAAAAATCATTAAAATCTATACTTTAAAGGAGTGAATCTTATGCCATGTAAATTTTATCTCAATAAAGTTGTTTAAATAAACAAACAAATGAATAAGTCATTCCATAATATGAAGATAGGATTCCCAAATCACTCATCTGAAACAACATGTATGAAAGGTATCACTCATTTATAAGCCAGAGACATATATTTTTAATCATGTTTACATTTTAGCTGTTACTATATGATGGAAACTAAAGTTTAAGGAACTTAAAGTTTCTTAATTATAAACATTTTTAATATGAGATAATAGGTTTTGTTTTCAAAAGTATAGTAAATATATTTTTGACAAACAAAATAAATAGAGCTAAGTATGGCACAATATCCTACTTTGTTCATAATCATAATTAATTCTTCATGATAATATTATAAATACAACCCTAATAGACTTAAAAGTTTTGAATTTAGAACATTAGTCTAAGTTGGTCAAATATCAGAGATCATAAAAACTTATTCATAAAGTATTTAATAACCTTGTGAGAGTAGGTTTACACAATCCATAGCATACTTCTAGGGCTTGATGTATTCAAGTTTTAAATGTCATATGTACTATGATACAAATAATACCATTTGATAGTATTACATATTCTAATAGTGTCCAATGTTTGCATAATACAAATTATTTTTTATTAGTATCTTATGGCATATCTCTTTCTATTCATATACTTTTAATCTATCCACACCTTTATATTTAAAGTGTATTTCTTAAAAACAAAATGAAAAACTTGCATTAAAAGATGATAATATATTCTTCAAAATGCCACTGTTATAAAAGGTAAAGAAAGACTATGGGAATGTTGAAGCTGAAAAGAAACTAAAGAGACATGAAAAGTAAATCCAACATCTAACCCTAGACTGGATTCTCTACTAGAGGGGCAAAAAACTCTGCTATACAGGTCATTGCCGGGTCAAGTGACAAAGCTAGAATACTGACAGATTAGATAACTTTACTAATTCTTTAGGAAAAAATATTTGTGTGTGTATTGATACACACATACATATGAACATAGATAAAACGATTAATAAATGGCAAAATGCTAACAGCTGAGTTGAATAAAGAGCTCTCTGTGTGCTCTTTGTACTATTCTTAGCCTTACAACCTTTCTAAAAGTTTGAAATCATTTAAATATAAAAAAATAACATAAAATGCATCTCTCATAAACAGCATGGTTCAGTCTTTTTTTTTTAACTAGTCTGACAATCTCTGCCTTTTAATTAGTGTTTAGTCCAACTACATTTAATGTAATTATTTATATGGTTGGAATAAGTCTAACATCCTGATATTTGTTTTCTGTTCATCCTATTTTTGCTTTCTTCTTTGTCTTTTCTTTCTTCTTTGTTCTTTTTTCTTCCTTTCCTGCTTCTTTTGGATTAATCAAATATTTATTCAATGTTCAATTTTATGCCCTTTACTAGCTTTTTAGGTATATATCTATTTTACAATTTTGTTTGCTCTAGGGATTAAAATATGCATCCTTAACCTACTAAAGTTTACCTTAAACCTCATATCTCTTCATGCATAATGTAAGAAACTTACAACAGGACGGTTTCATTTACCTGACTCCCACTTTGCACAATTACTGTCATACATTCTACTTCTAAATATACTATAAAATAAACACATATATTATTGTTTTTCCATTAAAAGAAATTTAAAAATGAGAAAAGTGTATTTTATTTTTGCCCACATATTCACCACCTCTATCCCTCTTTATATTTTCCTGTAGATGAGTTACCATCTGGTATTATTTTCCTTTAGCTTGAAAAACTTCCTGTAACATTTCTTGAAGTGTAGGTCTAGTGGTGACAAATTCTCTCAGCTTTAGTTAATCTGAAAATGTCTCTATTTTACCTTCATTTCAAAGGATATTTTCAATGGATATAAAATTCTAGATTGACAATTTTTGTATTTTTCAGTACTTTCAAGGTGACATCCATTGATTTCTAACTTGCATTGTTTCTGATGAGAAGTTAGGGGAAATTTTATCATTGTTTCCCTGTAGGTAATGTGTCTTTTCTCCTCTGGCTCTCTAAGATTTTTTTCACTGTTTTTTGGCAACCTGATGATTTATCTAGGTACTGGTTTTCTTTATGTTAATCTTGGTTGGAATTCATTGCACTTCTTAGATCTGCGGGTCTTGTTTTTAAAAAAAAAATTTAATAATTTTTTAGTCATTATTTCTTCCAAAAATTTTCTGCCCCAATCTCTCTCTCCCATCTCCTTCTCTACCTGCAACTACACAAATGTTAGATTGTATGACACTGCCCCTCAGAACACTATGGTTTTATTCATTTTTCTTTTCTATTTTCTCCCTGTGCTTCAATTGGCTTAGTTTCAACTGATTTATCTTCAAGTTCTCTGATCCTTTCTTTTACAGCATGCAATCAGCTGCCAAATCCACCCGGTGAATTTTTCATTTCAGATATCAATTTCTATCAACTTTTTTTAAGCCCAGTCATAAGTCACATTTTTCTCATTTTTCACAAGTATAATGATTGTATGCTCTGTTATAAACCAATGTTATTTTAATAAAAAAAGAGAGAGGAAAAGTCATTTAAAAAGGGAAAAAAATACTAATCATATGCTGGACACAGTAGAAGCTTCATTATTGAGAACATGGATTATATCGTCTTACTTTAGAGTGAGCTTTGTTCTGGCAGGCAGTTAATTTATGGGCAGATCAGGCTGATACCGTAGAGACTTGGTTTTGGGCTTTGTTATGTGAGATCTAGAGTAACCCTCACTCTATGGCTAGAACAGCCCTATTCCTAAGATATAACTTTTCTGAGGTCACATATGAAAGCACAGGATGGTCAGCAAGTTCTCCCCACACTGACCAGTTTGAACTCCAACATTTGCAAGCATTTGGCAACTTTCGGATTTTCCATTTAGCTCACAGTCCCACAGTAGCTGTTTTCTGCCAAGCCTTGCATGTGTGCAGCTTCATATTTGACCAAAGGCTCGATGGCAGGCCTTCAGATTTCTGAGGATCCTTTTCTATGCAATTCCCTCTTCTCCAGTATTCTAATCCACAAATTCCAGCTGCTTCCGCATCCCTGAACTCTGATCTCTGCTTCCTCTGCTTAGAGAGTCTGCTGCTGTCTGTTTAGGCTTCACTTCTCTGTGTCATAGTTTGGAAAGTGACCCCAAAGAGGAAGCTGGAGTGAATATGGAACTCACCTCATGTGCTCTCTCTCAACTGACTGTGCTAATTGCCTGAGTCCATCCATTTTTAGAGTTGCTTACAGCAGGAGTTAACTTCATCAAGGCCAGAACCAGAAGTCCTTAACTTTAACTTTTTTAAAAAATAACTTTAAAGTCTATTATCTTATTTCACCTTAAAATAAACACGTAACCTGATAAGCACATGTTATTCCCATGACAGATTAGCAAACCAAGATATAAAATGTTAAATAACCAGTTTCCAAGAAATATATTTTATTCCATATGCAAATATTCATCAAGCACCTACTATGGGCACTTGGTAAGTGACATAGCAGCGAAAGGAACTCAGAGAATGTAGTTGCAACCTATATTCTTTATATTCAGTCATCAATAAAGCACATAGACTGTACCAAAGAAAATATGTCTAATGAATGAATAACCAAGAATCAATCATTCAGTCCACCAGGAGCATGCCTATACTCTCAAAAACGACTACAATTTACATTCATGATTTATTTTTTCCTGAAAAGACTCCTATTTGCCCTGCAAGTAATTCCATTGCTACACAGTTATATTTTTCAATTCCCTACATATACTTAATTTTTTCATATTAGTAGGTACTGTCTAACCAAGTCATTTCTATTTAGCTATGTCAAATTTGCTTCAGCTAACCCTTAATCGTATTTCTGATTTTCACCTGGCAAAATCGAATATATTTTCCTGGCACATGGAGAGAAAATATAATAAAATTTCTAAATACCATTTCTGCAGCATCACACCAAATGGTAATATCATTTCTCCCATCTTCAATAAATCAATCAAAGTGATACGTTTCTACCTTACAGATTTTCATCTCTCAAAGAACCTCTTAACCTGTCATTTAGCCCAATATATGTAAGAGTGACTGTAGGAAAATGGTCATAAAGTTAAGCTACATATATGTTTATGAAATAGCATTTAAGGACATTTTAATATTGATTACCTTAATATATGACTAATTCCAGTAAAGTAAAGTACATTACAACAGAAAGCCAGACACTGTGCATCTTCCATTGCTACATATTGAATATCTCCTCCTAATTTTAAAGCCTGGCAGAAAAAAGTCTGTTAAAAGGTTTTTTTGAGATGATAGAAGTTCATGACAGCAGCATCACCTTTAAATAGAAACATTACTTTTGCGCTCTGTTTACGATTAATGGAATATTTTAGGTGGCTAACTTTTTGTTTTGCTTTAATCTGTTATTCTGAATCAAGGTGGCACCCTTTAAAAAAGGACCTTACCTGCAGAACATCTTGGATCTTCACCCACACGTCCGCCATGTCATACAATTTGACATCTTCCTGCTGAGTCTGTGGAATCACGACAGTGTCTTGCAGGTATCCCAGGACCACAGAGTGTGCAGTGGCTACAGCATTAAACTTGTCAAATAGCAACTCCAGCAGTTCTAGAAGTAACCTAGTGATAAAAACAAGTATAACACAGCATTTACACACACAAACACACGCAAAGACAATTTACACCGGACTGCAAGAAAAACATGAAACTAAAGTGAAGTACCAGACTACCATGTAAAGAGCCCAACATAGACTTCAACAGATTTGATTCCGAACAGTTGTACGATCTACGCAACTTCTGAAAATTTATCTAAGCCTCAGTCTCCTCTGCCATAAAATGGAGATGATGTAAGAATTTAAAAACCAATTGTAAAGGCCCCAAACCAGCAGTAGCAGCTCACAAGCATTTGTTTCCTTTTTAATATATTTCAGTGATCACTATACTAGTACTCTGTATTCATACAGGCAGTTTCTCTAAGGAATTCAGGCAATTTTTCAGACAACAGTTCAGATGTCACACAGAATATGCTATTCTCTAGCAATAAATTGGGCACTTTGGTAAGTATACTAACCCCTTTAGTCATAGAAAGCTGCACTTACTACCATTCAAATGTATAGCCTAAGTTGCCTGAAAAAAAAATACACACCTGCCAAGCAATCTGATTTTCACCACAGGGAGCAGCACATTATTTCATTTTTCATAGTGAGAGATGCTGGACACATATTATTACATCAATTTTATATAGTCAAGGACACAAAATGAGGTCGCAAGGCAGCTGGGCCTAGAACAAAAGGTTCCATGTCAGTGCATTTAGCCACCTACCCCTCACCATAGTTCTAAAATGTAGATGTATGTTTAGAGAGAGCTCGGAGCTTCAGGTCACGGATGCAAAGTAATTCCTCTATCACTGAGCCTTACAGCTTCACTGATCTCCCAAGCCTGGAATCAGCCTTTCCTCCTCTGAACTTGTATAGTATTCTATCCCACTTTTAAGCAACGTACCACTTGTGGCTCACATACATGACTCAATAAATGTGGGTCACATTTATGTTTATATAGACATTTGACCTCCCTTCTCCACTATTACTCTTTCAGGGCAGGCACTGCTTTATACACCTCGGTACACAGGGGAGCACTGAGAACAGTGATCAGCAAATATTTACTGAATGAAGCTAACGTGTATACCATGAATGAGAACAGAAAATTTTGGAATGTGATCTTTTTTGTATATTGTACGGCTCTCAGTTCATAGTTCCTAAGCAGACTTATAAACCAACCTGGAAAGTAGGAAAGGAAAGCAAAGGGCTTGTCAGCAGTGTCAATTAACAAAATTTTATTACCACAAATAAGAGGTTACAACTACAATCTCATCAGAACATATAGCATATTATGTATTACTATGGCTTCTTTACTACCCAATTACTATAATTAATGTGCCAATGTGACAGCCAATAACCACCTTATGATAAAACCCTAACATCTACTTGACATTTTAATTTAGATGAGACAGAATCAATAAAAATTTATGTTGTACTCCTAGTCTAGAATATACATAATCCAGAAATTACACATTGTATTTATAAATAGGAGCTATTCTACTTTTTGAATGATGATTTTTTCAATCTCTCAAAGCTCAATTCATATTTATACTCATATACACCTAAAAGAATTCTTCTTTCTCATCTATGTTATTGGAGAACTACTGAAATATCAGCAGAGAGAGGTACAAAGTTCAGGAAGATGTATCTAACATAAGAGCCAAAATAACTAACTCAGTGCAGAAAAATAATCTGTATAAACTGGTAACTGGCATCATACACAGTAAATATCTGATTAAGTGTGAAGGTTCTACTTTTCAAATAAGGATTTATGCTAAGTATGTAAGCCTGTAGTTCCCAAATATCAGTGCACAGACCATAATGTATTTTTCAGTGGTAGTTAGCAAAATAAGAAAAATAGGACCATATACCATTTACTTTTCACAAAGGTAAATTTATTTAATTTGATATTTAGGGTACTCTCTTGATAGGAAAATTTCAGTTATTTTCTCTGGCAGTTATATTGTCAAATGTCCTTAGTTGAAAAAATTAAAACTTAATAACCTTATGTTATACCCCAACATTTTTTGAAATCATATTGATCCATGCCATTCAGAAGCCTGAAGGACACTGGTGTCCAGCCTATCAATGACATGAAGTTCTAGGTACAGGCCTACAAACCAGCAATAAAGCAGAAAACACTGGAAGATAAATGGGTGCTCAGAATGGAGGGGTGCTGCTGTCTGGCTCCTAGTGGGAAATGAAGTGTAAGATGAGATCCATGGTATCTATTAACATCATGGAAATAGCAATCCTTTGATAAAGTGCTGACACACAGCCAGCTTGTGTCACTCCTAGGGGATCAAGGCCAAGACATACCCGTTGTAGTGTGACCATCATAGGCACAAGACAGGCTATAGGGGGAAGAAAGAAGGGAGAAGAGACAGGCCAGAAGTGGAAAGATTCTACTTGCAGCTCTGCCTTCTTTGAAACATCCGCCCATGTCAGAGAGGGAGGTTCTCCTTTGCCTTACCACAGCACAGTCATGGCAATGTTAATAAAACCCTCAGCTCCGACATCAGAATTAAAAACTTTTGTGCCACTAATGACACCACCAAGAAAGTGAAAAGACAACCCACAAAATGGGAGGAAATATTTGCAAATCATTTATCTGATAAAGGATTTGCATCTAGAATGTCGCAAGATTTCTTACAACTCATAATAAAAAGACAATTTTTAAATGGACAAAGGATTTGAATATACATTTCTCCAAAAAAGATATATGAATGACCAATAAGCAAACAAAAGATGCACAATATGAGGGGGCCGGCCCCGTGGCCAAGTGGTTAAGTGCACGTGCTCCAGCTTCGGTGGCCCAGGGTTTCGCCAGTTCGGATCCTGGACGCGGACATGGCACCACTCATCAGGCCATGCTGAGGCGGCATCCCACATGCCACAACTAGAACCCACAGCTAAAAATATACAACTATGTACCGGGAGGCTTTGAGGAGAAAAAGGAAAAATAAAATCTTTAAAAAAAAAAAGATGCACAATATCATTAGCCATCAGAGAAATGCAAATCAAAACCATGACATACCATTTCAACCCACCAGGATGGCTATAATCAAAAAGACAATAAAAAGTGTTGGTGAGGATGTAGAGAAATTGGAACTCTCATACAGTGCTGGTAGGAATGTAAAATGGTACAGCTGCTTTTGAAAATGGTTTGGCAGTTTCTCAAAACATTAAACATAGAGTCACCATATGGACCCAGCAATTCCATTCCTAGGTATATACCCAAGAGAAATGAAAACATACACAGGCACAAAAACTTGTACACAAATGCTCAGAGCAGCATTATTCCTAATAATAAAATAGTAAAATTGTAAAAGTAGAAATAATCCAAATGTTCATCATCTGATGAATGGACAAACAAAATGTGGTATATTCATACAATAGAATATTACTTGGCTATAAAAGGGAATGAAGTACTGATACATGCTACAACATGGATGAACCTTGACAGCATTATGCTAGGTGAATAAAGTCACAGAAGACTACATATTGCTTGATTCTATTCATATGAAATATCCATAAAAGGCAAATTATAGAGACAGAAAATATATTAGCGGTTACTTAGGTGGGTGAGACTTGACTACTAAAGCATATGGGGTTTGTTCTACGGGGGGACAAAAATGTTACGGAAACACAGAGTAGTGTGAATATAATAAAAATCACTCAATTGTATACTTTCAATGGGTGAATTGTGTAGTATGTGAATGTTATCTGTTTAAAAAAAGAAATCAGTTGTGGCTCTGAGTGAAGACAATCAGAACCCAACACATTCCCTGCAGTAAAGAGAAAATATACAGAACAGTGAAAAAAGGAAGCTGATTGTCTCAAAGTGAAGTACGATGAAAGCTGATTCCTTGGGAATCTTACTACCAGGAGGACATTAGCTTTTCTCTTTTGGTTCCCTTGGTTTTGTTGGTTTGTCTTTCCTTCTTATATAAGTAACCTGTTAGAAACAACAAATTCATATTCTTTCCCAGCATTGATAATTCCTAGCCATTTAATCACGAAAAAGTACCACAACTTCTCCAAGTGTTCCCATCTGTAAAATGGAAGTATTAATTAAAACCTGTTCTAGAAGCCTCACAAAAGTGCTGGAAGATCAAAGCAAAAAATGGACAGAACGAGTTGAGGTAACGGTACCACATTAATGAGAGAGGATAGTTCAGGATCCCTTTGTCTGGGTTTCTGGGTGGAGCAACTCTGAATACCATGGTTACCTTTCCTGAGAGAGAGAGAGAATTAAAGATAGAAATTTGGAAGCAGAGGTGTTGGGTTTGGATCTGGACCTGTAAAATTTTAGGTGTTAGGTACTTGGATATGCAAGTCTGAAACTCAAGAGAGAGACTGATATTGGACATTTAAAAAGTGATAAACATTTGAGAGGATGAGATCACTCAGGGATGATATGCAGAGCAAGAAAAGCAAGCAAGTCCAGAGCCAACGCTCCCCGAAACAGCAGCACTGAAAAGATGATTAGGAAGTAGCTAGGGAGGAAGAAGGAAGCCAGGAAGGAAAATTTTAGAAGACAAAGAAGAAGAGAATATCAACATAATCAAGGCTACACAGAGGTCACATAAGGTAAAGACAGAAATTTACAACTCACAGGCCTCAGTGACCTTAGCAAGAAGGGTTTCAGAGGAGCACTGGAAGCTGAACTCAGCAGTGGGATGAGGAGTGAATGGTTAATAAGGAAAAAGAAACCAAAGTCAATCACACACTTTGCAAAAGCATACCATTCTTCATCAACATATGCACTCTGAAAAAAGAAAAAGGAAAAAAAAAGACGACTTTCTCCTGATGCATCGAAGAATCAAAGAGATTAGGAATCACTCACATAAATAGGACATAAAAGGGCACCAGTCTGGCCCAATTTAAAGCTACCAGAAATAAACTGAAATATGTTAATATTCATATACACTCTCCAACAGCCCACACAATACTAGATTGAGAAAACAAATGTTCGCCTTCAGCTGCAGACACACTCAAGATGACCTAAACACACAAAGC